TTAACAAGCTTGATTTTAGTCATTGCTATTATAAACCCAGGCGACAAAACAGAACAAATGCAATTCATTGTCAAATTCATTGAGGTAATCAGTGTCTTTGTATCTATCCCTAGATCACAAGATATGTATCTCTGATGGGAATTTAAACTGTCAGAGAAAAACTAGTAAACAGATGCTAGAACATTGGTGCCAAGTTGTGTGAATTTAATATCCATTATTGCCAGCCATTAGACCGGTTCAAATGTAGTTAATTGCAAATAAGCTAATTACCATTACCAACTACAAAAATAGTGTGCATATACCACATTTTAACTCATTTGGCAGACTGGATATCAACAAAACATACTGAAAGAAGTTAGCTAGTTAAAATAGGCAGATTAAAGACTGTAAAACATGTCTTTATGGCTAGCATCTTATGTTAGCTAATCAGTAATTTTGCTATTTCTAGATGTCGCTAATTTAGAATTACCGGTAAGTACATTCTCACAATGAAATTAATGTATGGAGTCAAATTTGCTAAAATGTAGCTATTTCAACATATTTTACAGAATTATGTATTATTATACTGTTAACTATAAAATGACATCCATGAGATTTTCTCGCCCAAATTTTCTGTACTTTTTTCTTCTGGAAATGAACCCTAATTTTGGAGCCAACAGATCAAATTTGAGTCAATTTTCAGTTTTTATTCAAAAATCTTGGTCATTTTTGTCCCAATTTCTGAAGGAAAATGGAGACTATAAACGGGACTATTTTGTAAATTTGTGATGAAAAGAGGGAACTGGAGGTGAAAAGGTTAACGTGTTTGAGCAAACTATTTGGGCTATCAACTCAACATGCTAAAAGTAGTTACTGTGAATTATTTTATTTTAGCTGGAATTAATTTTCGCTGAAACATTCCTTCAGCGAAAATAACGAAAATTAATTCCAAATGAAAATAAAGCATTTTACAGTAATTAGTATGCAAATTAGCTAATTCATATGTACAGATTTATCCTAAAATCTAGTCAGGCCTGGAGTACTGGTACTTGTAGATCTATTCATCCACACATCAGTACAATATTAACCTCCCTTTGTGTTCTGAAACTAGGACCTGGAAATGCAGCAAACAGACTCACAAACAATTACCCCCCCCCCCTTCTGTCATTGAATAAACACTGCAGACACACCTAGCAACATTAGCAACCAGAAAACTCAAAACTTGTCTATTTATATTACTTACTCTTAGGTTCAAATGTAAAACCTCACTGTCACTTCCAGTCACTGCAGGAAATGATTCCACTTTATGCAAAAAGTCTTCTCCCACTGTTATCTCATCATCTGTCAAGGATCTTTCTTCATCTATATCCATGGTGATACTAGCTTGTTCCAAAACTGCGTTCTGGTTATCAACAATGACATCCTATAGAATACAGTAGATAACTCACTTTATAAGTAATGTGGTAATCCCATAGAACATTTTCATTGAGATTTTAAGTTTGTTTCTGGATTAGGCTATGCATCTCTTGAAACAAAATACAGCGCACCCATAAAGAAAGAAGTTTAGTTAAGAATATATAATTGTTAAGAATATATATTGTACTTATTCAATTAAGTGGTAGAATATTCATTAAATAAATTATTCTATGAGTTCACATAAGCCATACCCTCCCCTTCAACAACAAAAAGTAGTATACATATCTTTACTGATATACATTTGTATTTGAATATGCATATCAGATCATCTCAAAGATACACCTTGAGAGTGTTGTGCAACTGGAGTGTGTCTACATTTAGCATGACAAATGGAAACTGAAGACTGTCCCCCCAGGTCGTGCATGCATCCGTGATAGTGGCAGAGTGTACATACAGGACACATGAGCTAAAACATGTAAGTGTAAGTGCCTGCAACTGGATGCATCAACTATCTGACTGCAATTAGGCAACTAGAGGAAGTGTTTTCCCTCAACAGGGCTTTACCTTTTGATGCATTGTAGAGGAACCTGTCAACTATGTACACATATTGCACATGTATTTGACAAGTGCCATGCACACCTGCATAAACACCTGTGGACCAGAGACTGGACGAAAGTACATATTGTTCCCTTGAGTAGCAAATATGCTATCTCCAGGTGAATTGTTCTCACTTTTGTCAGGTCCCTGAGGCAATCAACTAAATGATACTGCTATTATTATAGGTGTGATGTACAAAAAAGAGAAATGCGATGTCCGCATTCTTTGACTGAGAATGCGAATATGGCCACTGAGCTGTGCATACCTGTAAGCATAAGTCAATAGAAATTTGATAGAGGCAGTGGGAACAGTTATACGTGGAAGGTTTCTGTTGACAAGTCGCATGGACAATTACTTGACTTTGTTTGGCTTTGTGTGGCTGTATAAGAACCAAAGAGATCAGGATGCCTACCGTACCTGATAGCACAAGACACCTTGAAATCACACTACGTTAGTGCTAAACGATTTACAGTTCTACAGTTACAGTTCAGTAAACCAATGAATGAAGTGATACAAAAGTGCCTGACAAGGCTCTTCTTAACTAGCATCAACTTCACCTCTTGTCCAGATGAGAATTTGAGAAATCGAATATCCCCTGATAATTTACCCATCATGCACTGCACCACAAGGTCACACAGGGTACCCCAGGTCAAATTCCTGGGTCAGGAGCAGATAATTAACCCATATTTGACTATTATAGTCAATAGTTTTAACCTAATATTAAATAGTGCTAGTGACTGTCTAAAAAGTTTGAAATATAACCTGGACGCCATTCCTTGTGAAAAGTTGTTTCAAAATAGAGTAGACTATACATTATATACATTTTCAGCTGTAAAGAGAAGGAACAGAGCGAGATATGATGAGAAATTTAAGCAGCCATAGAATAATTAGACAGAGAACAGAGAACAGAAAACAGAGGAGGGGGAGAGGAGGATAGGAAGAGAGAAAGATAAGTGAGAGGAGTAATAGGTGATGGATGAGAAGGAGCAGGAAGGGGAAGTGATAATCTCACCAGTTTATCCAAGGAGTACCAATCTTGAGTCAGGTCTCTGTCATCACTCACATCACCATCTTAAAAGAAATATTTTAATAAATTAAAATACTAAATATATAATCTAATTATTTGATTCACAAGTCTTAATTAAATCAAAGAAAGCTTAGAAAGAACTCCCATGTGCTGAGAGTTTTGGAGACACATTAAATATAATTCAAAATTACTTGTACTTGATTGAGATAGTGATGGGATAGCCGAAAACTAATAATGCAAATCAGATCAAAGAAAGCTTAGAAAGAACTCCCGTGTGCTGAGAGTTTTGGAGACACATTAAAAATTAATTCAAAATTACTTATACTTGAGATATTGATGGAATAGCTGAAAACTAATTATGCAAATAAGGTAACTAATATGAACAGATTAAGTGTAAAACTAATAAGGTCTGCACAATGTACCAAGTTTCATTGGAATGTGATTAGAACCAAAAAAATATTAATTATTATGCTAATTAGAGAATTAATATGAACAGATTTTAACCCAAAATTAATCAGGCTGTCTATTGTCCTAGAGCATTTATGTACCAAGTTTTATTCAAATGTGATGATCAATACTTGAGATATTAGTATTAATTAATTATGTTAATTAGGTGATTAAGAAGCATAAATATTTACCAAAAACTAATATGGTGCATAGTCTTAGGTTCATTGAAATGTGATGGGTACTATTTAAAAGTTTCATTGAAATCCAATGAGTGGTTTTTAGACATCAGTGCAACAGCCATAGAACAGCAAAAAATTAACTAATTATGCAAATTAGGTAATTAATAGGCACAATTTTTTATCTCAAAATTAATCAGGTCTCTGCATAGTCCTAGAATATCTATGTCGCAAGTCTCATTGAAATGTGATGATTAGTACTTGAGATATCAGGTGAAAAGCTGAAAATTAACTAATTATGCTAATAAGGTGATTAATATGCACAAATATTTACCAAAAAAACTAATTAGGTCTCTGCACAGTCCTCAAGTAACTATGTACCAAGTTTCATTGAAACGTGATCATTACTACTCGAAATATCAAAAGCTGAAAGTTAATTAATTATGCAAATTAGGTAATTAATATGTACTGATATTACCCTAAAAACCATCAGGTCTGTGCAGTGTCATAGGACATCTATGTACCAAGTTTTATTGAAATGTTATGATTAGTACTTGAGATATCAGTGGAAAAGCCGAAAATTGATTAATCATTATGTAAATTAGGTAATTAATAATATTAACAGATTTTTACCCAAAACTAATCAAATCTGTGCATTAGTTCAGAGCATCCATGTGCCAAGTTTCATTGAAATCCAATGAGTGGTTCTTCAAAAATCAGTGGAAATGTCATAGAACAGCTTAAAATCAGTTAATTATCATGCAAATTAGGTAATTAATATTCATAGATTTTTTACCCAAAACTAATCAAATCTGCGCACTAGTTCAGAGCATCCATGTGCCAAATTTCATCAAAATCAAATGAGTGGTTCTTCAGATATCAGTGGAACAGTCTTGGAACAGCTAAAAATCAGCTAATTATCATGTAAATTAGGTAATTAATATTCATAGATTTTTACCAAAACCTAATCAACTCTGCGCATTATCCCAGAGCATCTATGTACCAAGTTTCATCAAAATTTGATTAGTGGTTCTTGAGATAACGGTGGAACAAAAAAAGTGACATACATACATACATACATACATACATACATACATACACACATACACACATACACACACACACACACACACACACACACACATACATACATACATACATACATACATACATACAGACATACAGACATACAGACATACAGACAGGGTAACTGCAAAGACTCCCTTTTGTGCTTCGCACACGGGAGTCAAAAATCCAGAGGCATTTGACAAATTGAAAATATTCATTCTTTACTTACCCATACAGAGTACGAAGCACGTTCAACCAGTTGATAGATATAAGTCTCTGTTTTATTTGCATCATAAATAGTCAATGGTGACTCAGGAGGCTTTTTTACATCTGTTCTCTGGTAACGAATCTTACAATGCAAAAAAAGAGTAAAGTTTAACCATTAACTTTAGCCATCTTTCACAAATTAATTGAACATAATTTTTCCTATGATATATACAATGTAGTAGATAATAATTAATATTCGTTGTCTTAGATAACTGAAATAGCTAGACATTTCAAGCAATGGCTCGTTATCAATAGCAAATGTTTAAACATATTGGTAGAACATAAGAACACGTTGCTCGTTTCCCAGGGAACCACCCTGCCTGCAAAATTCTGTCTGCACAGAATCCTGGCCGGTGTAGACGGCCTGGGGGGAGACCGTGAGCATCGTCGCTGAGGCAGATGAGCGGGTTTCTCGACGAGTTATTGAGCATTGGCTGTGCCCAAGCTTACTTTTCGGAGGAGGCTGAAGGAGTGGGAGAGGAGGGTGGGCGCAGCAAGGTGCCTCCCCGGCATGTGCCCGCTTGAAGTGAATGAATGAATAAGAACTAGTTAGCCATTCTCAATCTGATCTAAAAAATAAAATAACGTGCCTCATGAACCCGTAATGTCTAATGTATGTACCAAGTTTGAACAAAATCCATCCATAAATGCCAGAAATGCTTGACATTTGATGATTTTTTAGCACAAAAATGGCCACCATTCGGCCATTTTTAATAGGATCGTCAAACCAATATATCTGTATATCTATGACATGGTGTATAATGAATATATAAAATTTGAACATAATCAGTCACAGCAAGTCAGAGATATGGCACTAGAACCACATTCATTAAAACAAAATGCCCGCCAGTCGGTCATTTTGAATCTTATCTGAAAAACAAAATGATGTGCATCAAGGTCCTATAATATCCAACGCATATACCAAGTTTGAACAAAATCCATCTGTAAACAGCCGGGAAATGCTTGATTTTGATGATTTTTAGAACAAAAATTGCCGCTATTCGGCCATCTTGCATCAGATCGTGAAACAAATTGATGTGCATATGTATAATATCATGTATGATGTATGTGTGAAGTTTGATTGTGATTGGTCCAGGCATTTCTAAGATACATGTCCGAACTCACAGACACACGAATGGAAGCACGGGGGGTCAAAACATAAGTCTCCATTTTTGGACTGCGTTTGAACGGGAACTAAAAAAGGGCAAAATTTTTGGAAAGGACTTAAATATGACTTCAATGTAAAAAGAATGTATATATTCCATCAAAATATGAATAACATTGGTAATACTTGTCCACTAATATAGTGTTAAAATACTTGGAGATACAGTGTGTAGTGTGAGAAATTGAGAAGGTCCCTTACCTCGTATCCAATCAGGGTGCCATTGGATACTAATGGTGGACACACACAAATGGTGTTCTAATACTTGGCTATAGTGTGAGAAATTGAGAAGGTCCCTTACCTCATATCCAATCAGGGTGCCATTGGATACTAATGGTGGACACACACAAATGGTGTTCTAATACTTGGCTATAGTGTGAGAAATTGAGAAGGTCCCTTACCTCATATCCAATCAGAGTGCCATTGGATACTAACGGTGGACCCCAATTCACCTGCATTGACACTTCATCAAGTCCACTATGTACACTGAAGTCTTCTGGAACACTTGGCACTAAAATGAGAATCAAAGAAAGCATAGAAAGAATTGAAAGTATTGGAGACATATAAAGTAAAAATAGAAAATACTTAAAATTAATTCATAATTTAAGATTAGCCTTTCAAATAAGAATTTTGACCTCCATTCCAGTTGAGAATCTATGTGAAGTTTGATTCTATATACAACACTACTCTAGAATCCATCAGGTTTTCTAATTGTTTCACCCACCAGTCTTTAGGTTTTGTTTCAAATTTTGTTTGTTAACATTTTTGAATTGTGTTCCAATATGCACAGAACCACAAAGATCAGCGCTTGTTCAGTATAACTGGAGCCTACTGTAATTCACAACTACAAAACAACACAAAGATCAGTGCTTGTTCAGTATAACTGGAGCCTACTGTAATTCACAACTACAAAACAACACAAAGATCAGTGCTTGTTCAGTATAACTGGAGCCTACTGTAATTCACAACTACAAAACAACACAAAGATCAGTGCTTGTTCAGTATAACTGGAGCCTACTGTAATTCACAACTACAAAACAACACAAAGATCAGTGCTTGTTCAGTATAACTGGAGCCTACTGTAATTCACAACTACAAAACAACACAAAGATCAGTGCTTGTTCAGTATAACTGGAGCCTACTGTAATTCACAACTACAAAACAACACAAAGATCAGTGCTTGTTCAGTATAACTGGAGCCTACTGTAATTCACAACTACAAAACAACACATTACATTTTTTGTACTTCGCAAATATTAATTATAATTTGAGCACACACTGTCAACAATTTGAAATGAACTTGCACTGCAACTTCCATTTGTCGACTATTCTGATTACTTACATCCATCAGGCGTTTGAACACGTATTACTCTCACTTTTGGGAACGGGGCTTTGCCGACTGGTTTAATGGCTACAGTGAATTCATAGATCAGTCCGGCTTTCAAGTGGGTTACACGTTGTGAAGTTCGCGTACTGGATACATTCATGAAGCTATCGTCAGTTGCAACACCAGCCTCCCTATGTAAAATGATAAAATTCAACTCATCTTTATTTAAACGCTGGACATTTACAAGAAACATATATGATTAGAAGAAATTAAGAATAACAAAGAAAAAGTAGAACTCCCTTGATAAACATATACATGTTGCAGTGACAATATTTTGAGTCAGAATCTGTCTATAGTTAATCTGTCTATAGTTAATC